ATCAATAATGCACTATGAGCATATCGAGGATATGGCGAAAACGAGTCACTAATACCGAAGAAACTGAAGAGGCACGTGATCATGCACTGTCTCTAAGCACTGTTCGTAGACTTCCCATAAATATAATGAGACCGGAAAATTCATTGCACGTGTAGAATATGACGGGTGTGCATTTAGCACTATGGTCCAGCTCGGGACCGGAAAAAATGGTGTATTTAAGGAGGGTGTGCACTTATAGAGGGTGCATTTAGGGAGGTCTTACTGTATATATAAACTTTTGTATAAATTTAACAAGTATTCATTACATAATGCATTAAAAAAATTTCCGGTCACTTTTGTCGCCAACTATATATAAACATGCTTTTATAATGGAAATTAAATTTGCAAGTCACAGCTTCGGCAGCAGCAACGCAATTATTCAAGGTCGGTCGAAAATCTATTTCTTTATTAAATTTGAAAAAAGCTTGCTACAGATATAATTTAATTACTTCTTATAATCAGCATTACAGAGTCCTTAATATAATCATTTATTATTACGTCACGCGTTTCCAAATCCCGTTCTCCTCAAACAGCTTATCGACTCCAGACTCAACAAATGTCCACAATTTTTTCCGCGCCGCTTCTCTCTCGTTCCTCTCTTCCTCACTCTCACCCTTAAAAAACCCAAGTCTCTCAAACACAGCAGCAGGCTCGGCGGTTTTTCCGTTCGGTTCTTTAAACACCAACTTGTTCACGACGATGGTTGCAACTATCGGATCCTTATCCGCGGATGTCTTTGCTTTCGAGGGAAGAAGAAACCGAGAGAGGATAAATACCCATTTATCGTTCCATGTAAGAACACAACTCTCGACCGTGTATTTTGCGAATGGTGGAATTTCTTTTTTGTAGACGATTTTGCAGCCTTGAATCATGGAATGACGATATTTTTTTAAAAAAAAGATAAACGAAGCATCTTCTGCTGTATTAACATTTATAACGAACCATAACTACTTACCACCATTAGCCAAATATAATTCTTTTGGTATAAGTAAATCGCCGAATAACGTGAAAATTTGTTCAATACGCAAAAAATCCAAAACTTTGAGATACGAACTAATAAATTATTTCGTTAATTGACATTTAGCTGAAATGTAATGTTACAAAATTGCATCACTTACCTATTATTCATATGAATATTAAGATCAAGCTATTCAATTAACGAATTCAATTAATCGCATTCTTTTTAATAAATCCCGAGCTACAGAATTGATGATACTCACATCGTCAGGCCACAATCGATGCTCCTGTCTAAAAACTCGAAACAGCTCTTGGCTATTCGTTTTCTTTTCGATCTTTCCTTCCTTTCTCTCCCGCAACTCTCGTTTTCTTCGCCATATAATCTTTTGAAATAGAAACCAACATCGCCAATGATAAACGGTTGGCAACGATTTCACATTCAATAAAATCAAGACAAATAGAATGTGCTTGGCAAGCGAGCCAAAAAATGGAGCCAATGAAAGTAATGCAGAAGTTAATGGGTTTTTTGTCAAAGATGACATGTATGAAGAATTGGATAGTGCGGATGACATGGTTGTCATTTTTATTCTTTTTTTCTTCTAGAATAAGATCCATATTTATAATAATGTCGATATGGTAAAAATTTTTCCGAATGTATTTCAAAGTAGTAATCACTATCACTGCATTCAATAATTTGTATTTCACGATAGTAATCATAATTACGTACTTGAGCTGCATTAAAAAAATTAAAGAGATTTCCTTTTTTATTAAAAAAATGATATTAACTGTCATGAACTTTCCCTTTTTTGATATTCATTTGAGATTGACGATGACATGGGATGATAACGACACTTCACAAATGAACCGTCTCTAAAAAGACACTACATGTCACACAAAACTTCAAAAAACCACTCTTCACGCTGAAGATGTAAGCGGAGGTGGTAAATTGTCACGATCCTCGCATACACTAACAGTTATAGACAACCATGTAAGGAGAAAATCTTTCTTTTCGCTTCCTCATTTTCATAATAAGTAATACGATTCAAAAATGTGATCTGTATTGCCAGAGAATTAACGGGTTTAATGGCTCTCTATTTATCTAGGCTTATATCTTTGGCGGAGAGCTGACGCAACGCGTTTCTGTAGATAATACTATGTATATTTATAAGCTTGGTATGATGGAACCCTCGAATCTGTCTTGAGAATACAACCTCGCTCTCTTCAATTTCGATTAGGCCTTGATTTAATTAGTTGTCATTTCATGTTAGCAAAACATTGGGAGACCCTGTTCTTCCGGAGACTCGAGATCCCGGAAACATTCCAGAACCACGAGTCGGTGCAGCTTCCGCAACTATCGGACACTTGATATTTCTATGGGGAGGACGAGGTGGTCTCCTTTGCCGAATGATTTATTTGAATTCAACACGATCGAAAAGAAATGTGTCCGAATTCTGGTCTAACAGATCCACCTCCTATAGCGAGATCTTATCATGCCATGACTGCATCTCAAGTATATATAAACAAACAAAAGATTAACTTAAATCTGAATTAACTTATGACACTCATAAAAATGTTGTAAAAATATTTAGACCCACTTATACATATACGGAGGTTGTCCTGTTTCCGGTCGACTGAATGACTTATACAGCTATAACCCATTAACCAGTCGCTGGACCACTCTTCCCGCGTCCACAGGTATATCACCACGTGGCGGTTCTGCCCTTGTTTATCATCGTCCACAAAATAAATTAGTTCTTTTTGGAGGTTTCAACGGAAAAACTGAAACAGACGATCTATATGTTTTCGATGTTGCGGCGAATAAATGGCACGAGTCAAGAAATTTCATTGTCAGTCTGCCAAATAGTAATCTATTGGTGGCGATGTATGGGGAGCTAGACCCAAGTCCAATTGGACATGCAGATGCAGGTAAGTTTTGGGAGGATGTCTGGAGGATCAATGCTGAAGTGGGCGATAATCAGGAAGAGTTAGCAATAGAATGGGATCGAGTGAAAATATTGGATGATGGCAGCAGCACACATCCACCGCTGTTCTCCCGAATGAAGTAGAATCAAGGAAGCCTACTCCTCGAGGATGGTTCCAAGTTGCGGGATGGAATGAAAAAGTTGTGCTCAGTGGTGGTTTGAATAGTAATAACGAGAGATTAGATGACTTGTGGTTTTAGAGTTTGTTTAACATCATTATTGCTATCAAAGTTTATATGATATTGAATCTTTCCTTGAAAGTAAAAAATTGATTGATTAGTGATTAAGTGGATAATGATGCCTTCCTTAGTTAACCATATTTGTAAGTCAAAGATACAATAGATAAGAACAATATAACGATCTGTGAATAATTGCTACAGTAACACTACACTATTCATTGAAATTTAACGCTAGCCTGGGTTACATCCGTCTGAAATTTTGTTGTGTCTTTATGCATGTATGCATGTATTATGTATATGATACAATGTTATACAATGAGATTCTTTCCCCTTTCACCCTTCTTCTCTCTGATCCTACTATAGATAGATTATTACATATTGTGATTTTGAGTACCATATTAAGAGTTAGTGTCCCCTGCTATCTACATGTACAAAAATAACCGAAACAAAATACAAAAAATGGAAAATTACAAATCCCCAAAAATTTATGATGAATGTTTTGAAATAACTAATTACAGAAAACCCGAAAAAAATGACCTCTATGCGTGATTGGTAAAAAGATTACTATATTATTATAATTCTAATATGAATATATTAAACCAAAAAAAATGGTGAGAAATATTATTAATATAATGATGGTGATTATAGAACCATCAAATATGATTGGCGAATGTTTTGGCCTGCTTCCAAAGCAAGCCCAATTTTTTAAAAAAAATGTTTAAGTCTAAGCTGTCCACTTTTTCAAGTGATAATAATTGTTTATATAGTGTAGTAATAATAATTATCGATCTCCATTACCTGAATCAGAATTTAGATCCGGATTAACCACAAACAGACTCAATCGTGGAACAGATATCGTCTGTACCTCCCGTGTGACAAAGAAATTTTCTGGTTGATCTGATGCACGTTCTGTCTGATCTACTTGATCCGAACTGATAGGCAACCGTGATGTTATCGGTAACGAGAATCGATGACGTCTCGACCTCGATGAAGAAGATGATGATGCTGAAATTTGCTGAAAATGCTGTGATTGTAGATCATGTGGAATAATCCCTCCTCCACCACTGCCTCCACTTGTGTGTGACCTTCGTGGAGTCCCGGGTATTGAATTATGCTTTACCCTCTTAATCATCTGTTCAGGAATCTGTGCAGACGTTGGTGTAGTTGGCGGTGTAGTATGAGGTGTTACCGTTATATTTGATGAAAAGGTGTTTTCTTGTTGATTTGAATTCGTGGAATTGGAGAAATTCGAAGGAATCGAATTTTCTCGAATAAGGCTAAGCTCATTCGGATTATTATCATCAATAATCGGGTACCCAGGAGTCTTCTCATTCTGTTCAGCAGACGTTCGTTGTCGATGCCGATAATACAAAAGCCCAAGTATTCCAAACAATGTCGCCGCAAATGCACCACCCACCACCGCGACTATTAAGCGTGTATTACCAGTCTTCGTGCCCGTTACCATCTCAAGAGTTGGTTTTCGTACCGGGTTGAATGATATGACCCATGTGTAGTTTGTGGGATCATTGGCGTCTAGGATGTTGAGTGTCGTTGATCCGGTGTCCGATTCCATACCTATAAGAATGTTGATAAGTGAACCAGATTTTGATTATCAGATAGATAAAAAGTAAAAGTAATAACACTAATAGATCAAATAAATACCAAAGGCAACAATCATATAATTGTTCACCATCGTAGCAGTATGGTAGGCACGTGGTGTCACTCCATTATCAAATTGCGGGCGCGACCATTCAAAAGGGGATATCGCTATATTCAGTACATAAATGTCAGAATTTGGTTGCGTCGAGTTCACATTAATGCCTCCGTGAATAATTAGACGGCCATCTGAAGCTTTTTTTAATGAACAAATTGTCAATGAACCAATATTGTGATTTAGATACATCATGAAAATTAAATAATCAACATGATGTTAATTAAGAATAGACTTACTTAGTGCTGCGGTGTGTCCGTATCGGCTTAGTGGCGTATTACCTATTGCTGTCTTGAATTAAATAACAGATAGAGAATGAATATTTTGATGGATTATTTTTGAATCAATAATGGATTTTATATATTTTCTTTATTTACCACAGAAGACCACATAAGTGATTTAGTATCGTATAACCAAATCTATAAAAGTATAATCGAGTATTGATTAATTTTGAATATCAATTCGTGCTCATCTCATAAAAAGCATATAAAAATATGCGAGAGCAACATCATCATCACTACCATCACTAAACACACCTCATTCATCAAAACAAACTGTCCATTCGCCTGCCGCCCACCAACATATAAAATCTGTCCATTCGACAACAGAGTGGCCGCCGAATCAGCCCGTGGCAATGGCGCGCGTATCGTTGATTTCATTACCCATGACAACTCTATCGTATCCAACACGACCATCTCATTTGAAAAAGTTGTGTTGGTGTCTGGTTTATTGGTCGTGGCTTTATCCTCCAGCCCACCAAAACAAAAGATATGTGATGACCCATCTGATACCGCCGAAAATTCTCTTCGACGGGAAGGTGGTAGTTCTGATATTTTTGGTGTTGACCATGATCGAATTCGAGTGTCAAACATGAATACGAGCGGGTCAGATATGTTCCATGGTGCTCCACCTGAAGATAATACAAAAAAATACAAAACATCAAATTAGTAAAAGTGAATTGGTACGAGAAGTATCTCGGTGTTTGTGGTCTTCCAAATGTAGGCACTGGGAGCATTACCTAATAAAAAGAGCTGATCCTGATTTGAGCCACCAACAGCAGTAGCAGTCCAACTATTCTCCGCGAGCCCACTCAAATCGCTCAAATCAGTCCATGGTAATGAAATGGTGGTAAATTCTTTTGAAACATTCAAATAAAAAAAGTCCTTTGAAGGAAGTGTCGTTTGATAGGTTGTATTAAAGACTTGACCACCCACAAAATATATGTTTTCATTTATCAATAATGCACTATGAGCATATCGAGGATATGGCGAAAACGAGTCACTAATACCGAAGAAACTGAAGAGGCACGTAAGATATAAATGGGCTACACTCCAAAGACTGCTATAATTCCTATGGCTTCTACTGCTACTACTACAAATCAACCACGGCGACTTCGACGACGGCATATGGTTGACCGACGAGCAACTGCAGCAATCAATCAGCGACGCGGAGCAGTCAAAGCACCAGCGTATCAATCAAGACCAAAGTAGAATATATTCAAATGTTATATTGTTGCTATTTCGTTGTACGTAATACGTAAATATTCGGTAATATAAATTTTTGAAAGAGGAAATAGTAAAAGCAGATATAAGAAATTTGACACGACGAAGTACCCAGCCAGTGGAAATTTTCTCAAAGAAAAAAACCATAAAATTATAGTTTACTACAAAGGACTGTTTGTGTTATGTGTATGAATAAAGGCTAATCGATCCGACCTTATTTGTCTTTCTCAAAATACGCTAATATTTATTTATATTAGGTAGGTTTCGCGCGCACATTTCGTCCCTTTATTTAACCAAAAACGGAATAATGTAAACGACGATAATTTCACTTTTCGAGGTACGTAAATAAAATAACGATATGTATATATACAACATATAGCGATAATAATTAAATGAAATATTCTTTTCTAATACCGAGAAATTCGACGTGCCTTTAATTCGGTTAACATCCAACATCCTTTTCTTCAACATCACCATCATAACGTCAACCATTGTCATTTCCAAAAAGTACTGTTTAGCGTTAGTGGTCTTTTCAATAGCATGACTTTAATGAGGTTGTGACTGCATGGAGGTTTTCCTAATGCGGGGGGTAGCATTGTTGTTCTGAACTACATGTTGTTTCTAAATAAGAAGCAATCAATCCTTCTTTTGTAAAGCAACAACACCAAACTATCATTTTGACTGTCAGAAAATGATGAAGACATTATTAGCATTTATTCACTCACCTTATTTTGATTCATTTATTAATTAACGTTAATGAATGTTTATCGTCATTGTCAAAAAGAATAATGGAATTAAACCAAAATAATAACGATAATAGTTTTAATACATGAAAGTCAGATTAGACCAATCAAAATTATGTCAATAGAATTTAATCTTGGCATTATGTTTAGCTTGTTTACTATTATTCGATTGGACCAATCAAAAAATTTTGTCAATAGAAATAAATCTTGGCATTGGATCGTAATATGTACGTGGGGGTAAAGCTCCAATCGGTTCGGGTCAACCTGAAACCCGACCGGAAAATCCCGGTTCAGGTTGACCTCAAACCCAACCCGAAATATTTCGGGTCAGCCTAAAAATCGTTATTTCTCGTTCAATATTAATTGAAATTAAACGAAATTTTGTGGATATATACACAATTACATTCCAAACAACTCTACTTAAGGCACAAAATACAAATGTCTTAGTAAAAATAAAAGTTATTAACGAAAAAATATTTTACGATTTTCGGGTCAAACCCGATCGATCCCGACCCGTCCCGACCCGAACAGAGCTTACTTCATGTGATTTAATCACACGCTTTAATTTTATTGGTTAGTTCAATTCTTTGCGCCCGTTTTTGTGTGCCAGGCCAGGGCGTGCATCTATGTACTCACCACCCGATTTGGTTATGATAAAAAACAGCCAATAAGAATGCATAAATTTTTGATCAACCCGATGCGAGAAATGTGAAACAAATGTCTAAAAAATGTCGAGAAGACAATTTTATATATAACCTGGATCACCATCCCTAACCGTAACCCTAGCCCTAAGCTTAAAACCATTCTTTAACCTTAATCTTTATTACAGTAGTAATTTCCGAAAATACGCAATGCTATTGGTTATTTTTGTTATTACTAAATCGGGTGGGGTGGAGGTTGGTGGCGCAAACCAATAAGAATGCGATTTGCCGGTGGCGCAGACCAATAGGGATGTGCAAATTTTTGATCAACAATTCGACGCAAAAAAATGCGAAAAATACAGAAAATGGATATTCAAATCTAACTTTGGGTATTAATAAAAAATGTTAGAGGTAATTTTACATATAAACTTGAGCTTCACTCTAACCCTGACCTTTATTCTAAAATCAATCTTTTAACATTGCAGTAAAATTTTCCGGGATCGATAAAACCTGGCACAGCGAAAAAAAGTGACTGTCATGTGATAATGATCCAATACGATCTGTGCCAACCTGACTTCCCATACATAATGCCAGTATATAATACTATCATGTACACATGATATAATATCTAATTGCTGATTGGTCTAAAGTAGACTGATCGTCATTCGTGATTATTTACACTAAATCTTTGATGAGTATAGATGTTATGCACCGTAGCTTTTACCGTTACATGATAGTGATAGAATTAAACCCCCATAATACATGTAATAATGTTTTCTTAATACGTGGAAACCGAGTGAAGTAAAAGAAACGTTTACCATTACTAGATTGGATGAATCAAAAAAATTATTCAATAGAATTTAATTTTGGCATTAAACTTATGCTGGGCCAAAATCACATGTTCATATTTTATTTTCTTCTCTTATCACGCTATTTGGATTAAGAATGTGATTATTAGGAGTTTATTATGAATGTGACCATGGAGAGATGAAAAGTGACTTTGATTTTAACAATAAACTTAAACGACAGGTCCGTACCTTATGTTGGTTCTAATTATATAATGCATAATACATGTACATTAGATAGGCTTATAAAACTCACGAATTTATTAACGTTGATCTAGCATAAACTCAATTTATACATGTACATGTACATGTAATTGATGTAATTATTATTATTTGAGGAAGCTTAACGTTAACCTTAAGAGTAGAGTGTAAATTAATTTCATTAGGTCAGTTGACAATTTTTTTGTGTAGCACCAAACACATTATAACAATTCAAAAAACATACATAATAAGTGTACGCGAGGTACTTTTTAAAATGTACTTATATGTATTAGCGTTAGAAATTAGCATATTAAAAATAAAGAATCAAAAATACAGAAATAAAAAAATTCACAATACATGTAATAATAATAATAATAATTGGTTCGATTCAAAAGCTATTTAATAGCCAGCTTTAGGCTGAAATAAATTTTTAAACAGCAGAGCTTGCATTGCATCAATTCAAAAATAAAATACAGCCAAATCAACCAATAATAAATCCTTCTTCCATTTTTCTTCCAAGTGGCACAATCGAAAGACCCACTGGTGATTCTTAAAGAAACATGTTGCAAGGCAGAAGCTGCAAGTGCTTCATCGTGGTCATCAAATAAAGTGATCTTACAATATCGTATTAAATTCTCAATCTTTCGCACTCACTGAGCATTTCTAATCAATCAACAACTAATACTCAATCAACATTTAATCTCATTGTTGTACCAAATAGTGCTATCAAGGGACCTAGCGGTGATTCAGATGACGGTAACGGCTCATCTCAATGTGCGATAATGTGAACAATTAAACAAGATTCGAGAAAATAGAATATAACATCTTGTCTCAGCCTTTAATATTTAACTACATAAGGGGACAGACATATATTACATCATTATAGTGGATGGAGAGAGGATTGTTCAAAAATCTCAGGTAAGAGAACAACATATTTATTATTAGTTAGCATCAGCATCATATTATGATGCTGATGGCATATTACATTAACATTGTCACGCGAAAATCTCACAAAGGGAAGGGAGGTCAGAGGAACTTATAATTATGTCTGTCCTAAAGATGGACCAATGCACATTATGCACGCATATATGTATGCGTATAGTTACTAACCGATATACTAGATCGTCACTAATTAAGATATTTGTACTTTGATATTATATGTATATAAATAAATCAGAAAAATCAAAGTATCCTAGTCGTGGCGAAAAAAATGTATGGGTCATGTGATACCAATACATTCAAACAATTCATATTTTTTCAATCCAAATTCTAACCCGAACCCAAATCATCATTAACTAATTAAATATGTTACTGTTAATTTTTTCTAGCAAATCTGATTTAATTAATAAAAAAATATTGTTATAAGAGGAAAGTATTGTGGTAAAGTTATATATCTCAACATTAATCTTTTTAATCTATTTCTAAGTACTAAGCAAATATATAGAGAAATATGTTTTAAACATATTTACTAGTGCTCTAACTGGATTAAAATGCATATTTCGAATTGAATCAGATTAGAATTAAATTCAATCTGAACTATTTTGAATTAGTCTAAAAATTATTATTTTTTATTTAATATTAAACAAAAATTTGTGGATATATACTTTGAATAATTCTATTTAAGATACAAAATACAAGTATTTTAGTAAAAATAAAAGTTATTTATTAATGAAAAACTATTTTATGATTTTTGAATTAATTCTAATATGATTTAAAATTATCGGTTCAAATTAATTTTAACCTGATCTAAAGAGAGCTTTATTATTTAAAAGCAAATTAAAAAAATTAATTTAAGAAAAAACTATTTGAATATATAAAATTAATCAAATTAGTTTATTTAAAGCCAATTTTCTCTAAATTAATTTTTTTAATCTATTTCTAAATAAATAAATAATATTTAGAAATAGATTAAAAAATTAATATTGAAATAATTGATTTTAATTAAACTAATTTAATTAATTTATTATTAATTAATTAATTTATTCAAAGTTAATTATCTTAATATTAATTTTTTAATCAACTTTTAAATATTTAGCAAATATATAAAAAATATATTTTATATATATATGAACTACAAAAATAATATATTATTTGAATTTTTTATTAATTAAATCTAGTAAAATATATATTTTTTATTCTATATAAAAGTTTTTAATTTTATTAAAAAATATCTTTTATATTTATTTCAAAATAAAAATAATATTCTTTATTTTAATATATATTTTTCTCAAATTTTTCTTCAGAAATTGTTCTAATTACATGTAAAATCAATCAATTATTAATTAATAAAATTTAATTGACTTTATATATAATTAGAATAACTTTAAAGAAAAAATCTAAAAATTTAAGAAAAATATATAAAAAGAAGTCAATAAAAAAGATAAATTAATTTTTTTTTCAAAAATGAGTTTTTGTATTTAATATATTAATAAAAATATATAAATCATATTTTATATAATTATAAATACTTATTT